ACATAGCTGTTTGAATTACACATCAGGGCTAGGGGTGGAAACTTTTGCTTGAGTGCCCAAAGTACTTTCAAATAATCCATAAACGTCATCCCCATTTTAAAGACTTTTTGATTACTTCAATTCCAAGACAAGAAAGAGGATCTGATTTATAAAATCAAAATGTAAAGCCAGAAGGAACCTTAGAGGTTATTTATCCAACCTCCTTCTTTTCTCCCCATTAACGTCAGTGCTATGATAAAGCAGAGGTAGAGACAGTTCACAAAGACAGATAATCCCCAAATCATTTGGATTTGGGGTAGCTTTTATACTTCTTTTTGAACATGTGGCCAGTAGTCTGGGATTTCACTTCCAACAAGTTTTTTTTTAAAAAATAAGACTGATTCCTGAAAAAAAAAATGGCAATACCCAGTTTATCCATCCTGAGCTCTACCCAACTCCTCCCCAGCAGCCTATACAAAGCATCATCTTAAGCAGAGCTGCTGTCCTCGAAACCTCCTGTGGAGACTAGATGGTAGTAACTTGGTACTTAGATTTCAATGATCTCCCCTACTGGGTGCAACAGAAAAGTAAAAATGGAAAAAAGAGGGATATTTACAAAGGAGGTAATTAAGTAGATTAGGGGTGAACTGTCCAACATGAAAGCAAAATTTGCTTCTGTTAAGCCACATGAGATAATATGTCCTTGGTTAAGGGAGAGTTGACTGTGGGACTCCGAGAGCTTTACTTAAGGCAGCTTGTCTCTGGCAGCTGGTTCCTTTTCTTCCCTTTCAATAATTATCACCAGCCAGTGAAGTATGCATCCAGGGAGATTTACTTGATCTTATCAATTGCAATTAAAGGTTCTTTATCTGTGACTCCTATTTTTTGTTGCTCATATTTACAAGAAAAATTCTGTGAACTTAAAACTGAAGACTAGGGCCATAGCCAATGACAGCACCTTGAAAATGAATCATTATTCCCTTGGTGCCAATTCTTTTTATTAGTTCTATTAAGTCATACATATGTAAGGTTGATAAAGACCATTTCTACATTAGTGAAGTTAGAGATGCTATTTTAGAAACTGTCCCTGCCCTTTCATTCACGTGCAAGGAAAAAAAAAAATGCATCAGATAGTAGTAGATTCTCACAAGCTCTAGGAACCACCGTATCCACTAGACAGACAGATAGAGCAATTATTAAGTGATTACTGTTTGGCAGGTGCTGTGCTGAGCTATGAACACAGATACAAGCAAGTCAGACAATCTCTACTCTCATGAAGTTTATATTCTAACGGGACAAGACTACACATCAAGGGGAGGTGGAAAGGGACAGGATGGGTCTTGTGAAGGAAATCTTCAAGTATTATGGAAGCCTGGTTCTAGCAAGATGTTATAAGAGGCCATCTGATAGAGCCCAGGGTGATTTCAGGGGCATAGTCCCTGTGGGGAGGAGGCAGGCAGTGTATCATAAAGTGTCAGGGCAAGAAGAGACTTTAGAGTCCCAGGTACTGTAGATGGAGGGCCACGCCTTGTATTGGCTCCTGGGAAAAGCTGGGTAGAGCTCAGGATGGATAAATAGGATATTCCCCCTTTTCTTCAGGAATCATCATTTTTTTAATCTTGTTGAAAGTGAATTCCCAGACTATTGGAAACATGTTCAAATAGAAGGACAAATGCTACCCAAAATCCAACTACCTAGTTTTTTCCCCCTGTAAAAAAAGGTCCCAGAGGCCCAGAGAAGTTAAGTAATGTGCCCAAGGCCAGTAAGTCAGTAAATGGCAGAACATACCTTGAACCCAGATTTCTTGACTGTAAGTCCAGTGCTCTTACCACTCTTACTACATTTATATAGGGCTTACTTTGTACCAGACACTGTGCTCAGCACTTTACAATTATTTTCTCATTTGATCTTTACAACAACCCTGAGAGGTTGATGCTATTATCATCCCCATCTTACAGATGAGGAAACTAAGACAAATAGAGGTTAAGTGACTTGCCCAGTAAGTGTCTGAGGTCAAATTTGAACTCGGGTCTTCCTGACTCTAGGCTGAGTGCTCTATCTACTGCACTATCTAGCTATCACATAGCCGTTCTAAGGCAATGGCAGACATAAACAAGCCAGCCCTAAACTTCCTTAGTTTTGAAAGAAGCCATACCATATACTGCCTTGGGACAAAAATCACTAGATATCCCATCAGTGAAGAATGGGGTTAGTCAGTGCGTATTCTCCATTTATATTTTAACTTTATGTCAAGGCTTTGTGAGTTATATAGTTTGTGAATACAGAGAGCAGAAATTGAAAACAAATCAAAGTAAATCTACCACAAATTTCTGTTTCTAGCATCAGTGTAGGAAATCAGAATGAGGAATCTATTTGTTGCTTTATTTGACGAAGTAAATTTAAAAGCCCCAAGTTCAGCTATAACTCCCAGCAACTGGTACTGCAACTCAGGAAGGAGATTCACCAATGGGTCCCTACCTGCATTTCTAAGGGAGAGATACCCCATTTTTTATAGTGACCAGAAATTAAAACCTGTACCATTGATTCAGTCACCACCACCACCACCAGAACCACCACCATCATCATAATCACTTTATATATACACATATTCGTAATAGACCCCTATTTAGAGTCCAAGAAAATGGCCTGCCTGGGAGTCAAGACTCACAGTCTAAGATACACTAAATGGTTTCCTGAAGCTCCTAACCTGTTTAGGAGTCCTGTTTACTCAACCTGAGTCATTTTGCCAATGAAGGAAACTAAGCCTACACCAGTTGACAATTTCCCCAAGGTCATCCAGCTAGTGAATAATGGAGCTGACAGGATGCACCCATCTGAAACCCTTCGCCCAGGGATGAGCCCAGAATTCTATTTTAAGTCCAGGCTTCAGTTTAAGTGCAAAGGTGAGTTAGAAGGGAAGGGATTTCTAATGGTCCTTGGAAAGAATACCTTTGGAGCACAGATTGTAGCTACTTTCCTGTCTTTGTTCCTGGGGTTGAGTTCAAAAAGATTTAGTTCCTCTTGTTCTGACTGCTAGGGAAGAGAGAAAAAAAAATGAAACGAGAGTTTATTAAGCACTTACTCTGTGCTAGACACCATGCTAAGTGCCTTACAAATATCTCATTTGAACCTCACAACAGTCCTGGGAGATAGGTATTCTTATCACCATTTTACAATTGAGGAAACTGAGGCAGACAGTTCAAGTAACTTGCCCAGGGTCATTCATCCAGTAAGCGTATGACGCTGGATTTGAACTGAGAGCTTCCTGATTCTGGGCTAAGTCCTCCATTCTCTGTACCACCTAACTGCCTCATGCCAAGCTGCATCCCTCAGTTTGGTCAGTGGTTGTGTCCATACTCCCCTGGCTTTGTCCCAGCTCCATTTGGGAAAGGGAAGGGCTCCTCAGATGTTTCCTTCTAAGTCACAGAGCTCGAGGAATACAAGGAACATAGATTTTTTTATCTGATCCCAGTGTTTCTCAATCTGTTAGCCCAAGTCTGTCAGTTTTATGTTTCTTTCTAAAATCATAGAATTATAAAACGTTAAGGCTGAAAGGGACCATAGAAGTCATCTAGTCCTACTTCATGCCCATTTTACAGAGGAGCAAACAGAGACTGCTTGCTAGGGAGCATACCTAATTATTGGTAGAGCCTGAAGGACAGGGCTTGTTGTCCTAATCTGTAATCTAGTGCTTTTCCCACTACATCAAGTTGGCCCATTTTCTTGAGCACAAAAAAATTCAAATTACAATTCTATGACAAGAAACATATGTATCATACCTGTGTATGTAGGAGATCTAGGATTTCATCAGCAAGAGTATTATCTCTTTGTGAACTCCCTCCACTAATGCAACTTGAACCTAACTCTAACTTGCTGCATCTGAGGGAGTTACCCAAAGCACACATATGATCAAGTGACTTGCCCAGGGTCATACCGATAGTAAATGTCAATGGCAGAATTTGAATCCAGGTCTTGCTGCCTCTAAACCTAGCACTCTACCCATTATGCTAAGCTATTTCTATATGTATAACAAGCCTGAAAGGCAATATGGCATAGGGAGTAGAGAGCTGACTTCAGATTAAGGAAAATTTGGGTTCAAGAGCCATCCTGGACACATCCTGGCTAAGTAACCCTGGGCAAGTCAGTTAACATCTCAGTGTTACCAGAAAACTCTCCAAGATCATAAACTTCAGATTAATTACCACTATACATTGGAAGGAGTTTCTCACCAGGAGTCCATGGCTCCAATGAAATCACAGGTCTGAGTCAAAAAGTAAACAAAATGACAGTAATAATAGCAATGATAACAATAATGGCATCTTGCTTTTGTAAGTTTTTCAACAGACTTTCTCATTTAATTCTTATAACAATATTATGCAGCAATCAGATCAAGTATTAGTGTCATTCCCATTTTACCGATAGGAAAACTGATGCTCAGACTGGTAAAGTAATTTGGCCACAGACACACAACTTAGTGGTTGTAGAGTCACATATACAAATTTAGAGATAGATATTGTTCCTTTCTTTAAATTACAAGGCAAGTGTCCAGGCTAGTGCCCAGGAGTTGATGCCCATAGAATATAAGATATTTTCCTGTAGTGAGATCAATATCCTCTAGGCTAGTAGGGTCAAACCCCAATAGAAACAGGGTCCACTCAACTATAAGGATCCCTGCTCATATGCTGGCCATATGTTAACTTAGTTTTAAAATATAATATTATCTATGTTTTATTGTGTTTTTATTTATTTTGTTACTATTTCACAAGTACATTTTAATCCGGTTTGAGCCACACTTGGGAGTGTTGTGGGCCACATATGGCCCGACATCTTTGCTTTAGGCTAGTCTTGGAGAGCATTTAGTGGAGACCCCTTTGGAAGGGATACAGCCTGAAACAGATGGATTGTTTTGTCCATTCTAGACTGTCAAATGTATTTGCGTTGGTACGTTTTGAGGTGCTTGAACTATCACTCATGAGCATTGTTTACAAACTGTCTGTCTTTCCTCCTCCCCTCCTCTGAAGGAGCATCCACACAGAATTCCAATGCTGTGGAACCTGAGAAACAGGTGGACAATACAGTGAAAATGGCCGGAGTGATCGCTGGACTCCTGATGTTTGTCATTATCCTCCTGGGTGCCATGCTCACAATCAAGAGAAGGTAAGTTTCCTGATAATTAGGAATCAGACAGCTCATTTCTACTTGGCTCTGCTCAGACAGCCATTTGGTTCATGAATCTAAGAACTCAGAGCAGTTAGGGACCATGGGACCCATCTGTTCTAAGCCCCTGTCCAAGGAATGAATCTGTTCTGCAAGTTTACCCTCTAAGTGCTGGTTCAGTCTCTGCTTGAAGACTTGCGGTGATCAGAGGTTGTTACCTTATAAGACATCTCATTTCATTAGACAGCACTGACTTTTAGGAAGTTTGGGGTTTTTTTTTTCATTTTCATTTCATTTTTTCATTTCTTTTTTCATTTTTCATTTCATATTTTTTCATTCAAGCCAAAATCTGCCTCCCACTGACTCCCATCAGTTAGATCATTTTTCTAGCAAACATAATCATTGATTATAGGAAAGTTGCTCAGATCACCACACAATCTCTGGATCATAGAATTTAGAGCTCAAGGGACCTTAGAAAGATTGTTCACTCCACACCTCTCATTTTGCCAATAAGGAAAACAAATTCAAAAGAAAGAAAGTGACTGGCTCAAGATGACAGCCAAGTTGTGCTTTTGGGTGCTCCATAGAATTGGCTTGTGGTTTCAGTTGCTTTGTAGATCAAAGAACCCAAGTTTGAAGTTGACAGCTTTCTTGGCAAAGACTCAAGAATGGTCACCTAAGGGGCAGTTAGGTGGCGCAGTGGATAGAGCACCGGCCTGGAGTCAGGAGGACCTGAATTCAAATCTGGTCTCAAACATTTGACACTTACTAGCTGTGTGACCCTGGGCAAGTCACTTAACCCCATTGCTTAGCCAAAAAAAAAAAAAAAAAGAATGGTCACCTAGGTCATTTATCTGGCTCTACAACTATTTGTTTTACTAGGCAAACTATTAACAGCAAATATTAACTGAAGTGAGAGGCAGTGTGGCTAGTGGTTAGAAAGAAACCCTGGATTCAATTTCTACTTCTGACATACTGACTGGATGACCCTGGGCAAGTCACTTAGCTTCTCAGTGATTTAGCCAACTCTCTAAGACCATAGCTTACAGAGAAGGAGCCTACCTGTGTTGGTGAAAGGAATCCTCAACACAGGAGCTTCCCATAATGATGGAATCATAGCTCAAGTCCCTATTCTTATCCTATAGAATGAAATAAAACATGAGTTCTTGGCTCCTATGGAAGGGAAAGGAAAAAAAAAGACCAAGAAAACTACATATGCCAGATAAATTATATTTATAGCAGAAACAGTAGCTCAGAGAAATTAAATAACCTACCTAAAGGCCACATGAGGAGTAAAGCTCACCATTCAGTGGAAGCCTTTGTGGGGTGGTGGAAGAGCCCAGGATAGGATCCCAACTCTGCTGCTTTCTAGCTTCATGATACCAATCTAGTCATTTGGTCTCTCAAGACCTTGGTTTTCTTCTCTATAAAATAAGGACATTTGACTACCCCCCGAACTCTAAAGTCTCTTTCTGCTTTGACATTTTATGATTCTACCCCCCCGCAAGTCCCTTACACCTCACTGTCATGGAAGAGGGGAGTGGGAGATCATCCTCCTATGAACATTAGAAGGGTGATAGGATTACGCACACCCTTCTTGGGCCTTCAGATCGCCTATTCTGTGGTCATTGGTGATTCATATGTGATCCTTTCAATTTGGGTCATTTTGAAACCTGGCCAACCAACATCAAAGATATCTGAAAGCCTGTGGAGAAAACTGAAGTCATTCACAAAGACAAATGAAATGTGTGACTTTATTTTTTTTAACCAGAAGAGTGAACATTAATTAATACATTGATCATTTATTAGGTGTCACTGATCTATCCGCTAATAAGAAAGTTGGACCTGGAGTCAGAAATACATGAGTTCATATCTGGCCTCACACACTCACTGCGTGACCTTGACCATGTCACTTGGCCTCTATCTTCCTCAGTTTTCTTTATTATAAAGTGAGGATCATAATTTTGTTGTGAGTTGATGATAAGGTTGTTGTAAGGATCAAATGAGGTATTTGCAAAGTGCTTAGCACTGTGCCTGGCACATAGTAGGAGCTTTATAAATGCTATATTTTTCTCCCTATCCTCTTCTCCTCCCTCTCTTTTTTCTCACTTCATTTTCCCTTTGTTCTTTCTGTCCCCTTGCCTTCTCCCTCTTCTTCTCTTCCTCCTCTTCCCTTTCCTCTCCTCCTCCTCCCTTCTTCTCTTTCATAGTAACAACTTGTTTTTCTTATAACTCCTTAAAGTTTACAAAGCACTTTTCTCACATCAACACTGTGTGAATTTTCTTATCCCCATTTTACAGATGAGGAACTTGAGGCCAAAAGACATGAGGTGACTAGCCCATGGCCACACAGCGAGTTTGTTCAGAATTGTTATGCTCCTTGATTCAAGTTTGCCCTCCAAAAACTTGGGGAAAGTCTCTACAAGACATACCATTTGGTTAGCTCACAAGTGCTACTCCCCACAATGTACCAAAAGGAAGTTAAAGTCCAGGATACCTCCCCAGGCTGCTTGTAATTCCCAGATGAATCTTCCCACGAGGGCTTGCTCTCTGCTGTAATAAGCAGCTGACATTGATCTGTCCCCCCAAACCCAGCTCTACCTTACTGAACCCATAGCAGGCACAATAGCCTCTAGTCTGGGGCTGGGAAAATTTTGGGGTCTGACATATTCTCCAAAGCTATGTTTGTACATGTCAGACATCGTGGGTATTGACCAGGAGGAGAGCGCAAGCTTTTCCTCCTCCTTCCCCTGCTCTGTGATCTGGCATCTCTACGAAAAGCTCAATCCTCTTCACTTTGGCAAACCCCTGATATGCTCTGGAACTAAGTAAGAACCAAAAGAAACACAAGTAGAAATTAATCACAATAACCTTGACATCTTCACTTTTGAACCAAGAAAAATAGAGTGTACACAGCTCACCTAATTAGAGTAGAAAAAAAAAGGGCCTGGTCACTCAAAAGCTTCATGAGAGATGCTTTCTCTCTGACATTAACGAGTCATTGGACCCCTGAGCTTCTAATGATAGTCCTTCAGTCAGGAGCTGACTCTCAAGATCACACAGCTCCATCTGTGTGAGCACAGGTCGTCAGCCCATCAGTAAAGACTAATCCAGTGCCTTCTTTGTGCCAGGTGCTATACTAAGTGCTGGGTGGATATGTTTCTCCACTTAAGTGTTGAAATCAGCCTACTTATAGAGTGCACCTCTGTGTTTCCCTAGTGTTTGGTTACAGTATATGTTACCCCAGAAACATTTTCAGTACTGTGACCTGCCTGTGATTGTGCTTGGGCTTCTAGGTGACGTGCTGGTTTGAGTCCTTTGTTCATGGGATCCACAGGATAAGATTTTACCTTCTCTTCAAAAAGGCTAAAAAAAAATGGCAGGTAACAGATCAGTCACATAGCCTATGGCTCATCCAGGATGAAGCTACCTTTTGTCCTCAGAATGGGAATGTTCCAGCCCTTGGTCTATGGAAAAAAAGTTCCCTCTTTCTGTGTTATTGACTCTGCCCTCACTTTGAAATATCAAAGTTCTTAGTTACTCATTTCTATAATTTTAATACTTAGAGCTTACTCATTACTAACGAGAAAAGCTACAAGTGCTTTAGGCCTTCTCATAACTGGTGGCATAAAATTATTTGGCAACAGCTTTTATTTTAACTAAAAAAAGCTCTTTTACAGTGTTTGTTTAGGGTATAACTGTCAGTGTGTGCGTGTGTGTGTGTGTGTGTGTGTGTGTGTTTGGAGGGAGTCGGTATATGTTTGGGGATTCAAGATAGATTAGGCAGTCAAGAGATGTGAGTTGTAACTGTGTGGGAAAGCTCTTTGGAGTGTTGTTAGGGGCATAGATGTGTTATAGTGCATAGGAGTTTAGTGTAGTAGGTGTATGACTTGGAAGTTGAGATATTTGGGAAAGTCACTGGATATTAAGGGGGTCAGCGTATGTTTGGGGAGATAGAGTGTTTTGTAGTGTATTTGTCGCAGGGATATGTGTCATAGGATAATAGCCCCAGAGATGGAAGCACCCTCAGAGTCCATCTAATCCAGACCCCATATTTTACAGATGACTAAACTTGGATTCAGAGACATTAAATGACTGGGCCAAGGCCATACAGGGGGGAAGCATCAAAGATGGGATTTGAGACCACCCAGATTCCCTGATTCCAAGCCAGGGTTCTTTCCCCTTTGTGTGCTTGGATTATAGGTTTTAAGTGATGTGGGGTGTGATACAAAAGCATTTCCCCATTTACTAAAAGTGTCACCTTGGGCAAGTCATTAAATTGCATCCTAGGTCTCAGTTTCCTCATCTATTAAAAAAAAAAAGATGGCCTCTGAGATTCCTTCTAACTGTGGCTCTCTGTGATCCTATGTATTTGTGTGTTTCAGGCCGTTCGTCTCTGTGGCTGGGGTGGTGTTCTGTTTGGGATCACCACATGTGTCTGACGTAACTGTATGTAACCTGGGTGTAGAGAGATGTGTTTGGGGTCTGGACGTATTTGGGACATCTATGTTTGTTTGGGGTGTGGGCGTCTCTTTGGGGGGTCGGTGCACGTTCCCATCTGTGGTTTTGTTATCTGGGATTGGCAGTATAAGCTTAATCACTTAGCACTGCGTCTTTGGATGCTCATTTTCTTGCCTCCATCTGGCAAAAATAATTTTTCCAGATTAAACTGAAAACATCCTGTCGTCTGCCCTCTGCTGAGAGTCCAACATGTGCCCCCACTTTAACAAGTTTGGCAAAATGGACACATTTCTGGGAGAAACATTTGCCAACAGGGCGGTGGCCTGATTTCTCCCTCTGCAGACAATCTGTGTAGAAACAGGTGGCAAGCAAGCTCTGCTCACCCAGCATTGTCAAGGCCTCTTGCATTCAATTAAATCTCACAAACATTTCCTGAGCACCTGCTCCATGTAGGAAACTGTGCTAGGTACTGAAGGAGATACAGTGATGAATAAGACATGATCCCTGCCATCAAGGAGATTGCATTCTACTTGGGGAGA